TAAACCTGTTATCAATGTGGGGGATCTACTATTCCTCCCAGCTTTGGAGAATCCTGTAAGGGGAGGTGAGGTCAAGACTCAGGCTCCTTCTTAGGAGTACCGTCTCACTTCCATTTTGACTCTCTCTTCCCTCCTCTACTTGGATAATTTTTATTCAGTCTGTATATTCCAAATGTTTCCTGTCTTACATGTGCAACTGGGCTTAAAAGAGAAGAATTTGATTTCTCTGTTCTCTGATCCTACCATTACAACTCCCAGAAGGCAATGGTTGCTTCATGCTAGCCTCTTAAATTGGGAAAGATCAAGGGTTGTAAAGGGGAAAAACAAAAACACAAGTTACTTTCCAGTATCTTATCCAGTATATAAAGTTGTAATAGAAACTTTTTGTAGTTTTTATTATATACATCTTCCTTGCTTGAAATTATTTTCTTAGAATAAAATCCCAAAAGGGAAATTACTAGGTCAATCAGCATGAACCTCTCTTTTTCTTGCTATGTATTGCAAAATTACTTTCCAAAGCGATTGCACAAATTCATTTGGCCCTTAGCTACATTCGGTATTGCGTGCCAATTTCACTAAAACTTTTTTAGTGCTGGGCATTATCATCCATAAATATATTTTAAGCATCTAGTTTCTGAAACACATTGTGCTAGATGCTACAGGATACCAAAAGGAGGCAATCTGTGTTCCAAGGAGATTGAGGAAACAGATCATAAGCATATAATGCACATTTTAATAGTGGTTGACTACAGGATATGGTGTGCTAGAGTTTGTTTTCCAACTTCTTCCAATTTTGGCCTTTTTGGGGGGCATAGTACAAACCAAGATGCAATAATTAAAAAAGGGACTTTTCTCTGAATTTTTTTCATATTTGTTTTTGAATATCATATGATTCGAAATTTTTGAAGTATAAAAGGGTATATAGTAAAAAATGTTCTTCCATCTTAGTCCTTCAGTCACCCAGTTCCCTTATCCACAAAAAACTGATGTTATTGGTTTCTTGCATATATACTTTCCAGTAATTTTTTATGATATCTAAACTATATATAGAGAGAGAGAGAAAAAGAGAGAGAGAGAGAGAGATTAGTCCTCCCATTACTCTATTATTTTTACACAAATGATAGCATACTTAACAACTGTCTGCACCTCCATATGGACAGCCCAGAGAGCCCAGAGTTACCAGGTAGGTCAGACTGAATGGAGTGAAAGGGCCTCTCTCTGCAAGCCTGAGGGGCAGATATCTCTGTACAAGCTTCTGAACTGTGGCTTGACAGGGTGTGGATGACTGGCTGCAGTTCCCACCCTCATTGCATAGTTAGAAGACAGGGATCTGAACTGGTTGCACAGGATTCCCCAGTAGATTGCTGGGCTGATCCAGTGGTCTCCCTCTCCACTCTCAGCTTTGTACTGTACAGATAGAGAAACCTAATTTTGGTTAAGGGTATCTGGCTGATTTTTTATGCATGAGGCACAAAAGAGTCAAATTCTACAGCTCATTTTCAAAAACTTCTTCCAGGAATAGAAGATTCTGGAAAAAAGTGAACAAAAAGAAAGTGTACTATCTCTTGCCAAAGGCAGGGAAGCAGCTTGAAGCACTGAGCATGTGCTTCCTCCGCAGCAAACATCAGCAAAATGCAGCCTATGGCAGAGGAGGGAGAGATGGCCCTAGGCCAAATGGGCCTGAGAAGGCAGCTGTCTAGAAGATAGGTCACAAAAGATAACGATTACTTTGCATTTTCATTTGATTAGTGTTATCATAAAACCTTTCCCGTACCTACTTCAGTCATCTTTTAGTTTTGTAATTTACCTGGATGCTACTCTTTCTCCCTTCCATTTCAATTTTTTTTCTTATTGTATTTCTCTTGGAGAGAGGGATCCACAATAGCTGGCCTTTTTGCAGGAAAATTTAGAATTAACTGCTAGAACATTGGAGGGGACTGAGTCTAACTCTCTTATTTGATAGATATGGAAACTCAGGCCCAGAAAAGTCATCCAGTAGATTAGTGGTGGTTAAATGAAGTTGGATAGGTCCCCTTCTACCAAACCTTTCTTATGGAGCATCTGAGGCAAAATGGCAAGATTTAATCTCCTTGCTTATCAATAGTTTTCACCTTGGGCAGAGGTCAGTTGATAAGCCTCAGGTTCAATATGCTGGATTAAAATTAGTTTATTTTTTGTAACACACCCACCAGCATGACTAAAATTTTAAAAAATGAAAATACCAAGGCTATAGAGCAAACAGAACTTTCAAACTTTGATTATGGGAGTGCAAATTGATCAAAACACTTTGTAAGACTGTTTAGCAATATCTACTAAAGCTCAACATATACTTACCCTATTACTTACCAACTTCACTCCTAGGTATTCACCCAAGAGAATTAAGCACAAATATCCACCAAAAGGCCAGTACATAAATGTTCATTGCAGCTTTATTTATAATAGCTAAAAACTGGAAACAATGTATACTTTCATCATCAGGAGAATGGATAAATAATTTGCGGTATATTCATACAATGAAATACTATATCACAAAAAAAAAAAAAAAACCAAAAAGGAATGAACTACTGATTTGCACAACTACGTAGGTAAATCTGAAATACATTATGTTGAATGAAAGAAGTCAGACACGAAAAGGTACATACCGTAGACTCCATTTATATGATATTAAAGAACAGACAAAAACTACTCTATGGTGATAGGAGTCAGGATAGTAATTATTGGGGGAAAGAGATGGGAAGCATAGGTAGACCAATAGGAGAGAACCTCTGGGATGCTGGAAATGTTCCAGACCTTGATCTGGGTGGTAATTCAGATATAAATGTATATAAAAATTTAGTTTATGTTGAACATTTAAAATTTGTCCTTTTCCTATATGCAATTTACATTTCAATTTTTAAAAAGTACCATTTATTTGATCTGTAATGTAGAAAAAACAATGCAATAAAAATACTTTTATCATTTCAAAAAATATTTTATTTTAATAATTCAAGTTTATTAAGTTTACTGCTTTCCTTATCTCACACCTGGCAGATTGTATCAACCTCCAAATGGTATGCCTACTACCAGTTCTTCCTCACTGATAGGTTGTCCTGTCCAACATATATTCGATTTTGCAAATCTCCAGCTTATAAACTTCCCTGGCACCCATGTGTATGTGGGACACAGTGCAAACACCTCACTGAAGTAAAGACTTTCCTAATCCATCCCCTAACTGCTTTTCCAAATTCAGGGCAACCTCTATCCTCTATGCCCTTAACTCCTAGCAGGCAAAACCTCTCACATCTCTGAGCTAAATGTTTCCTGAGAGCTGGCATCATTTCTCTTTCATCTCTGTATTTTTGTGCTTAGTACTTTGGTAAATAAATGAGTGCTAACAGAACCGAAGTATAAATTCTACTTTTGTCCCAGACTTCTGGTTTTCATAGTGACGTTGCTTTCTCACTGTGGAAGACTTGGGGATGAAAGTGGACATAGATGAGACGGTTTCGATTAAACATAAATTAGTGTTGTCTCTAGTTTGTAACACACCCACCAGCATGACTAAAATTTTAAGAGAGAAATCTCCTGCTCTATTCACCAGGATAGCCACTAATACGTGGCTATTTAAGTTAACTGGAAGTATATAAAATAAAATAAAAATTCAGTTTCTCAGTCTCACTAGTCACATTTCAAGTTCTAGGAAGCTGCACGTGACTACATTATTGGACACCTCAGAATGGAATATTTTCCATCAGTGCATAAAGTTCTATGCGATGTAAATTTCTGGCCTTTACACTTAACTTGTGTGGGGTGAAAAATTACTGCTTGGCTATCACCCATGGGAACATAACATTCTAACAATAAGCTTTCTGCTTCTGTACCCACCGCTTGCACAACCGACTTGCGGGTAGATAGTTAGTAAGAAGAAGAAAAATAGACTTGTGTGTTCAAACAGGATGAAGAATGGGGTTTAGGGCTTAAAAACCCTGTACCTCTACATTTTGGGGCTGCTTAATTTGGGGTCTGTGTAGCCCTGGCAGACCCAGCTGGTTGAATAAAGAGTGTGTTTCCTATAACACTGATTTCTGGTGGTCTGTGTGTCTATCGGGGGCTGGTGGCTACAACAAACTCTCCCCTCTGAGAACACTTTTCCAGCCTCTTCTCACACTGCTTCCCTTATAACCATCATCATCCTTATCGTGTCTGCAATTACTTAAGTCTTTGAATAGACTGAAGGTTCCAGGTCGGCAGGACCTGTGTCTTATTGCTGTAGCTCGTGTTTAGCTTTGACGCCCAAGCACACATTAGGCGCTCAATAAATGTTGCATTAATGAGTGATAGAATGGGAGGGAATCCAGTCCCAAATCAGTTGCCCATGCTGCCTGGTTCTTTATGAGTTTCCTGCGTTTCTTATTTTTAAGCTTATTTGTAAGCACCGCCATAAAGAGAGAAGCGCGTTGCGCCTGATGGCAACTCTGAACGCTGCCACAGCCAGTGGAGGCGGGCCACGTTCCTGGGTCCGCTTCTTCTTGCCTCTGCCCTGCTTTGTCTCCGCCCAGCTCGCTCAAAAACCTCCAGCTCCCGCTCGTCACTGCGCAAGCGCAGCACGCAAGAGTGGGGCATTCTGAGGCTGCTGGCTGCAGGCACTCAGAAGCGTGGGGAGTTGCGGCCTGCGTTCGCTTGGCTCCAGCGGCTCACTACCCGAGGCAGCGAGGCGCAGCGAGTAAAGTCTCCCCGCACCCTGGGCAGTGTGGCCATGGAGAATCAGGTGCTGACACCGCACGTCTACTGGGCTCAGCGACATCGCGAGCTATATCTGCGCGTGGAGCTGAGTGATGTGCAGGTAAAGGCCGGGATGCGCGCGGGGCCTTGGCTCCTGGGACTCACCAGGAACCACCTGGACCCACCCGGACGCACCCAGACTCCCTGACCCTTTGTCCCATTGCGCCCAGGAGACTCTGCAGTGCGCCAACGGGGTAGGGGCTGGCCCTTGTTGAGGAACACCTGCAGACCCAGGCCCGGCGCACGACCCCTTGAGGGCTGCAGGTCCCTTCGGGTGCTGCGTGGGTCCCGTGCGGACCTCGGAGGCTGTCTCGGGCTTTCTCTTTGTTCGCAGTCTGAGGCCTGATGGAGCCAGAGCCTGGCCCTGAAGCCTGGCGGTCAGTGTTCGGGTCTGTCAAGGCTCTCGAGCATATTGGATGAGCTCGTTGGGTTAAGGATGCAGTGTGACAGTCGCTTGCTGGGCCGTGGCTGGAAGTCCAGCACTGGCCTGAACGGTCTAGCCAGTCCCTTCTGACTTTCACGAGGCCCGCCCATGCCTGACGGGCCACATCCACCGTCCAACCATTCAGTGATGGCAATCGTTCTTGTTAATTTTAAAGTCCAGAAGACCTCGAAGAAGTGAATTTTGCCCCTTGTTCCGAAGGCTGTGAGCTAAGGTTTGCTGAGTTGCATAGAGAATTTAAAAATTATCTTTGGTTACATTGAGCATTTATGTTTTATCTCATTGACCCCCTATGTGAACAAGCTGAGCCTCCTAAATGGTGGAGATCTCAGAACTGAGTACCTCCATGTTTCTGTCGAAACCATCCAGAATTCCAGTCTTTGAGGAATTGGAGTTTCAGTCTGAAATGTTCTTTCTACAGTCATCTTTACTCCTTACTCTCGTTGACGTCTATGGTATTCTGTAACCTTTACTCCACTTAACTTTGAGTTTGTTTGGATATCAGCTCTTCTGGGGCATATTGTCTCGCAGAGTGTAGGTAGGTGCTCTTTGATTGTGGACTTGAATTTGTTGAATTTAATTTTTACATTGCACAATGTTTCATTTAATATGTTAAACCAGGCTGAATTATACTTTTGCCTCAGAGGATGAATAGATGTTCTCTGTTGGCTCTCTTCTGCTCAAAGGTGTTTTAATAAAAGAAGGAAGAAAACAAAGGGGATCAAAGTCTTTATCTAGAGAGAGTTTTTCCAGCAATTAATAAAAAAAGTTCAGGATATGTGTTATGACAGTTTCTTTAAGTATTTAGTTAAGCATTATGTAGACCAATTGAATAAACTCAGGCCTTGCCCTCTTGACGTCTGTCATGTAATAAGGATGTAGTATTTTGGGATACTTTTGAAGCTACAAACAAAATGCGTTTTTAGCGGGTTAAAAGGGTGGTGGTGGTGGAAAGCAGTGGAAATTAGTTGGACAAATGAAAAAATACATAATACTTATATTTTTCCTGAAAGATCTAAACCTTTTTAGTTAAGAAACATGAACACATATGTTAATCATATTTGGTGTATTTAAAAATATGAAGGTATATGTTTGAGATACAGTTAAAATAAATGTAAATATGGAGGAAAAATTGAAATTGTTTTGGAGAGAAATCTTTTTTTTAATTTTTTGGGAAAAATAATTTTTTTCTTCCAATTGAATTTTTGGTTTATCTGTGATTTCCTTCGTGTAATTCTGAGGCATCCGTTTCAGCTACCATTAGTTTAAAAGCAACATGTTAATACGATTTATGAAAGAAATGCTCTACCACATGTGAGATGCTATAGATTTACAAAGATGAATCAGACAGATTTGACTTTCCAAGGACATACTATCTAGAAGGAAGCATATTATATGCAAACAAAAAGTTTTGTGCATGAGTATGTTCATTGGTAAAATCGGGGTTGAATATTGAACCAGTTTCCTGGTGTTAAAGGAGTTTGTTACTTTTGTTTAGTTAGAGATGACTTTTCAGAAATAAGATGATATTCTTGTCAAACTGAGATTGGGAGTACTTTGCAGAAAGAGAAAGGCATAGACTTTTAGTTTGACTTGTACTGTGTCAATGCCCTATAGCCAAAGACAGTCAGGAACAAAACACTAATTAAAAAGTTGGGTTTATTACCCTTTCAGCAAGGGAGAGCATAACCCATGGGGAACTGTGGGGTGTCTTAAGAGGGTGTTAGAAAGAACTGATTATAAGATTTGGACTTTGGTGATTGGGGGATGGTCTAAGGAAGCAGGGATTCACTTTAGATGCTGTCATAAAATGGGGGCAATTCTGTGATTGGGCATCTGACTAAATCTTGTCTATAGGGAAGAGAGACATAGCTCAAGAATAAAACGGTGTGTAATTGGTAGGGAAGTAGCTGTCACTCATTTTGGCCAAGAGAGGAACGGTGTCTGGTATTTTGTGGATAGCATGTGGCCATGTTTTTGTCTGTGCTTACACAAAATTATGAAATGGCCTTGACTGGTTGGTTTTCTGTGAGATTGTTTATGTGCAGTAGGAGAATAATATGCCCTAGCTGTGAGTGCCAAGCTGGCTTCTGAATCTCAGGGGCTGCTTTTTCTTAAATTTCTTAATTAATTGTTTTATGCACATTCTGTGAAACTGTTGATTCTGGCTCAAGATGAAGCAATTCATTTATTTGTTCAATGAAAACCATTTGTGGAATACTTACTTTTGTCTCTCATTAAGTGAGGTGCTGGGTTGCTAGACAGCTCTCATGCTCCCTGTTTTCTTTAACATGTCCCACAGCTATGTGTGAGTGAATTTTAGTGTTGAATTCTAGTTTGGGGGCATCAGCTCTGCTTCCCTCCCTTCCTGAGACACAGAGAACCCTGGGTCTTCACATCTCTATTCTGTCTTCAGAGCTGCAGGGCTAGTGACTGATGAGAAACCACTACTGATGAGGAGTGGTGCACAGTAGACTTCAACAGAGACATTGTCTGTGTTTGAAGTGAGCAGTAGCAAAAAGGCTAGCTGGAGTCCATAGGGGCTAGTGCAGATTTACTTTCAGTAAGAGTTTATTTTCAAGATAAGCATAAAGGACAGTTTTGTGCAAACAACCATAGTTGTTAAAGACTTTGTTCATTTATCAAGGCTTTTGTTTGTTTGTTTTAGTTGTGTTAGGACAAAGTGCATAGCTCTGTTTGGGAGCCATTAGAAAGATATTGTTCCTGTCCTTTCCTAATAGAGAGTCTGGTGGAAAGACTGGTAACTAAAGAAGAGATTGGGTCTCTGCTCTTTTACTATCTGGCGGCCATGGATAATTCACTTAACTTTTATGAGTTTTGGCCTCTTCATCCAAATATATGTGAATACTAACACTTAATTCACAGAATTGTTTTGAGGTTTGAATTGCATAATCAACAGGTTTGAAAGTGCTTTATGAATTCTAGTGTGCTATTCAAGTGTAAGGGATTATTATTGCGATATTAAAATTTAAATGAGAGAAACACAGAGCAATAGAACAGCATAGAGTCTATTAGCAGACTTATTCATATAACATTGGTGGCTTTACAAATTAATAGGGGAAAGGATGAACCATTCAAGAAATTCTGTTGGGACAGTTGGTAATCAAATGGCAAGAAAGGTAAAATAAGATCTTGCCTGTGTCGCAGACAAAAGTCAATTCCTGGTGGGTTAATGACCTAAACACAGAACTACTAAAAGAAAATATGAGAGACTGTCTTTATGGTATTGGAAAAGGAAAGACTGCATTTAACAAGACATTCATGTCATAAACCCAAGAAAAAGACTGACAAATTCAAGACAAGCTTGAAGCAGATACTGTGGTACGTGTCACTGACAAATGACTAATATCTTGAATATGTAAAGAACAACTACAGATCAATAAGAAAAAGATATTACCCAATAGAAAAAAGGGTAGATAATATAGGCAGTTTAGAGTAAAAGGAAATAAGAATGGCCAACAGACCTGAAAAGATGCTTGACCTCACTAATAATCAGGGACATGTAAATTAAAATGATAGGATACTTTTCTCACATTAGATTGTGAAAAATGGAAAACCCGACATTACCAACTGTTGGCAAGGATGTTCAGTGATGGGACATTTTTATGCAGTTGGGAGTATTAATTGGTACAACTGGTTTGGAGAACAGTTTGACACTATCCAGCCAAGATGAAGATGTGCATATACTTATGACTTGGAAGTTTTGCTCCTTAGAGAAGTTCTTTCATATATGCAGGAGACAGCATGTTCATTGCAGCAAAAATATTGAAAACAACCTCAATTCTTATCAACAGAAGAATGGATAGATTGTGGTGTGTTTACACAATAGCACACTGTACAACAGCTAAAATAGATGAAACAGAACCACCTGTATCTATAAAGATAAAGCCCACAAAGGTCCAGGCCCAGTGCTTGGTACTAGGGGGTTCAGTGGGGAGCAGCACAATGTAAAGATACTACCTCCTGGTTGAGGGAGATGGACAGTAGATAAATTAATAAATAAAAGAATTACCAAGATGAGTACTATGAGGGAAATAAAGAGTATTTGGTAGAGATTTTTTAAATATAGTGGTCAGAGAAGCCTTCATTCAGGAGGTGATATTTGAGCTAAGTGAAACTTAAAGGATAAAGTGAATTCTGAAGAGAGCTGGGGGAAAAACATTCCAACTAGTGCACAGAATTAAAAGGCAGGCAATGTCTTGGGGTAAGGGTTCCAGGAACAAAAAGAATGTCAGTATGTTTGGAGTATAGTAAGTGACGAATAAGAGGGAGATGAAGTTGGAAGAATTTGCAAGATGTAGGTCATGCAGGGCTTTGTTGCCATGGTAAAGAGTTTGGGTTTTATTGAGACAAATGGGAACTTGTTAAAGAGTTTTAAGCAGAGAAATGATATAAGATTTTTGTTTTAAAAAGATTATTCTGGCTGCTATTTAGATTTTAGAGAGGCAAAAATGAAATCTGGAGAACCATTTAGGAAGGTTATTATAGTAGTGTGGGTGAGAGATAAGGTGGCTCAGTCTAGGGATAACAGTGGAGGTAGAGAGCCATGGACAGATTTGAGATGTATTTGGAGAGAACCTTTAGGCCTTGATGGATTG